GCGTCGGCTTTTATGATTTAGAGTCGGTTTTTGGCCAACTCTAAATTGAAACATTCTTGTAGTGTAATTAAATAGATATACGATTAATTATATATAAATTCACCCACTAACCAAGTATCTTAATCAAGTCGATCACTGGTCTGAGTTTTAAAAATTGTTTTCTACTTCTATCAATAATATGGTTTACATTTTTTAACCAATCTAATAATCAAGATATTTGCATGTGTTCTTAAGTCGTATATCATATATCAACATTATTGATTGATACAAATGGTATCGCGACTTTTATTTCTTAACTAAGTTATCTATAATTTGAATCATGGCCCTATGTATAAAATAAGTTATGTTGGAGATAAATATTCATATTATGTTTGAATACAATCTTCGGTGAATATTAATCTTTATTTTCAAGGGATATTTTGTATCAATAATATATTGGTTACAACAAAAAAAAAAATATCATGGAGCATTGACTTTGTGTTCTTTTATAATATCTCTAGTTCTTATTATAAGGCATGATTTATAAGAAAATTGTAGTCTTTTATAAAATATTTTATAATTCTTATAAATTAGTAATTTTTTTTTTCATTATTTGCTCCTATTAAAGATAATGAAAAGAGAATTTGTTAAATGAATATTTTATTATTTTTCATTTCTTAAACTTTTCAATTGTCATTTATCAATAAATTTACATGTCATTATGAGTGGTTCAACCTAACAATAAAGTCTATTATTATTGGTGTTGGTACATAAACTTTGGTAAAAGTAATATCTATACATTTATCTCTCTCATAACAATTTAATGACAAGTAATAAGAGTAAAATTAATACTTTGTCTACTCCATTTCATTTCACATTTAAAATTTTTACATGAAACTTAAGAAATACAATTAATATGTTATATTTCATAAAATAAATTATTTGATTTCCTAGTTCCCTTAAACATTTTGAATTTCCCTAGTAATTAAAGAATACATAAATTAATAATAATGAGTAAAGATGTAATAAGAAAAACATATTTAATGTAATATTAATATTAAAAATGACATTCAAATTAAAGTAGATAAAAAAATTAAAATGTCAAATAAAATAGAGAAGTACATCATAATATTTATAAAAAAAAATCAATAAAATTAATTGTTTAACGACTCCATATTGATTATGAGATGTGACATAGGGTTTTATCGCTTGAACCAATAAATTATCGGAATAAATTTGATTAAGATCTGATCTAAATAAATTTTGTAATAACTACTTAAAAGAAAATAAGAAAGTAGGTTGAATTAATTTTTTTTTATAAGCTAGAAGTAGCTCATTTCAGTTGCTTATGGGAGAAACCTATGAACCGTACTGGGAGATGGCGAACGTGTTAATGGTGGCAGTGGTGACATGTTATAAAGGCAATGAAGCAGTTTGTTAGTGAAGGAAACCACTTGATGTACGTTCACTCAGAAAAAAATAAATTAATTAATTAGGTTAAGACAATAACAATTTGACGTACCCCTCAAGACAGAATAGGGGCCATTCCCACAGCACTTTCTACCATGTCCATTTTACATGGTTCAACCAATTTTTTCTTTTTTTTTTTGGATAGAGGCATACACAAGATAAAATTCGAACCCTTAAGCGTGGATCAACCCCTAGTGCTGAACCACATGCTTGGAATTACTATTCAACCAATCTAATCAAGATATTTGCATGTCACTGTAATATCATATGCATTGACTTTGAGTTTTTCTTTTATATATATACAAATTATATCATGATTTAATTATCTAAATTATATTATAATACATTTCAAATTACAAAACAATCTTAAGGTGGTCAATCATTAAGATGCATATATCTAAAGACTCAAATTACATGAAATGAAATGGAATTTATAAAGAAATTCAATTACAAATATTAATGGTTTAAAATGAATAATCCTAAGAGAATAAAAAACAAAGAAAGGAAAAAAGAAAATAAATCTATAAGAGGAAAAATGGTTTACAAAAGCCTCCTTTGTTTTGCTTTCATTAATAAGTCCAAAAAAAATGCCCAAATTTTGACATTAATCTCATTTTCTAATTTCCTACAATTCAGATTATGTTCAAAATACTGCACCTATTAGACTATCTAGAAGAAAAAAAAACATTAACTTTACCTAATTTGATCATAATATCACTTCGTGATCATGAAAAGTGTAAATATTTGTTAACATACACTTGATAGAGATCAAGAATACTTCAATCGTATTACTGGGTTCAAAGTCATGACTTCATAATTTAATGTTTCTCTTAATTCTTCCTTTTTTATACATTTGTCCTGCATTAAAAACTCAAAAAAAAAAATATACTGATTATGATCGATCTATTTAACCATCTCAAAACATGATGAAAACACATACAATTAGGGAATTCATTTTCACGTCATCAAAGCTAATACACTAAAATATATCAAAAGACATTATAATACATAAATTATGTTGTACATTTATTATTCAGACGTGTCGTTAGTTATTTAATCAACCCCTGAAACTTTTTCTAAGAATTTTTTATGGAACAAGGTTATCTCGATCACGTTCAATCCCCAAAATACTAGGTTATATATATATATGACATTGACGTGCCCCTCAATAGTTTCTAGTTCTGTCCATAACCTGGCTTAGGCTGTTCACTTAACCAATCTAATTATTCCAGATATCTTCATAGTAATTTAATTTGTACAAAACCTAAATTCTAGAATGTAAACAGATTATAATACACCATTGACTTTGTATCATATTCACTGCCAACAATTCCAATTGTGTGGCATGTATTTTTTAAACAAAATATCATAATTTTTCTATATTATTTTCAACACATTTCATGATATTATAAACTTTTGCACATGGTATGGCCAGTATCGCCGGCACGCCGCAATAATAAATTATAAACATGCTTAAATCACACAAAGCCTCCAAATTAATCATATATATATATATACATATAAGATTTCTAAAATAATCTATTTTATTTTCCTTTCATCACAATAAAACCACGTACTACTCTCTGGATGGAAACATATATCTACACAATTATTTCATGTTCTCCCTGCTATTTGTGTCACTAATATGATTATTGCATTGTTAAAGACCTGGTACTATCAAAACTAAGCTAGTTGATATCATGAACAGATAAGCTCAAAAAGCAAATTAATGATTTTTCTTTTCAATAAAGTCTGGCTTTATTAAATTGGTTCTTGAAAAATTAGACTTACATATACTATTTTTTGTTCAACAATTAGTTAGTTGATAATTATAAGTCAAATCTCAAACAGCCGCCTATTTTTATTCATACTTTGTTAGAGGTCGAACTAAATTAATCACTATAAAATTGCATATAGTCGCAAACAATCAATTGCTAGGTTTGTCGCTAAATGACGACCACTTTTTGAAGTTCATCCTCATTAACCATGTAGAGAATGTTCTTGAAAATACGAAAAATGCACATTTAATTTAGCAACTAATCTGTAATTGATTGCTAGATGGAGTCACAAAAAAAAATTCCAAGCAGCAACAAAGTAATTTTTGGTTGCTAAGTAGCGCCAAATTAATTGCCACAAAATAAAGTTGTTTCTATCGGTGGATTATATCTTAACTCCACAAAGTCTTAATTATTATTGCATAAGGATTAATAAGAGAAAAAATGAATCATGGATGAAATTACACATTCTAATTTGAGGTGAAGGCAGGCATTCCTCTAATATATATGGTGTATGTGTGTAGAAGGAACCGATTAATCATCAATTAAAATATGAATTTTACGGAATTTAACTCATATTATTCAAACAGAGTCGAAACCAAAAAAAAAAAAAAAAAGAGTACATTGACTTTCTATTAATTAATCAATAAAGTTAGTTCCCCTCGTGTGTGACTAGCTCGGTAATGTTACAAATGTAGGTATATAAGTAAATAAGTATAAGGTTGTTGAAGGTAAACACAGAGATATAATAAGGCTAAGACCTATTTCAATTTTTTTTATCTTATGACCATCTCTCTTTTATTTATTAATATATGAACAATCTTAAAATGTATTTATTTAATATATCATTTAAAAGAAAGTGGCATAAGAATGATGTGCAAACAGATTTCATGTACAAATATTAGTATTAGAGGCGTGTAGAGCCCTAAACATCATATATAGTATAATACTATAATCATTCCATGAAGTAAACGCCATTGCAACGTCTGAATACATGGCAGACTATGGTTTATAATTAAAATAACAAAAATATATATTATCCTTCTTCTCTTTCTCCTCAGTGACTATATAATATTTATATTTATATATATAAGGCAATTCCCGGTTCCTCATAAATGCCAATTATTACACTTCTCTCGATCTGAAAGCAAACACAAATTATGGTGCAACTTAAGGTATTGGCAGTAATTATTCTGATATGGTGGAGCAGTAGTGTTGAAGATGCAGATGCAGCAGCAGATACAAATCTATTAAACATGGGGTGCAGCTCGTACAACGCTTCAAACTTGCGTAACTTCTTTGCGAATCTGAATGGATCATTTTCGCACATGAGAGAAGAGATTGTGAATGGAAGCAAGCACTTTGTGACAACGGAGCAAGCGAGAGGAGATGTGGTCACATATGCTATGTTTCAATGCAGAAACTATCAGTCCAAAAATGACTGTCTTTCTTGCCTCAACACCGCCACCACCAAAATCCGCAACTGCTCCGCCGGCAACGGCGCCAGAATCATCTACGATGGCTGCTTCCTCAGGTATGTATAATATATTCATGCACACAAATTTCACTGTGTTTATACACAATCATGGGGTAGATGGTAAAAAAATGTTTACTTAAGTATGATCTTGATTCTTGACCATCTGTTATAATTACATAATCAGAATATTGTTGAGTACTTGAGTTTAATATATTTAAATAATGGGAAAATATTGTTCAAACCTTTCTGAATGTATATGATTAGCGATCGACATTCACCTTAAGTCAGGTGAATTGAGGTGGATAGAGGAGAGATAGAGAAGAAAAAATAAAGGAAAGGAAAGGAAAAGTGACAAATATGATACATGATAGTGATAAAATAAATAATTAAGGAAAAATAAGATGAAAGTGAAATACAAGAAAAAAGTGAATAGATGATTTGTATTTGTTGTATATAGACATCTAAAACATTAGTTTCATTTTGATATATCCTTAAACTTTTATTTCTTTTAATTAATCTTTAAAGTTTATCTCTTTTCATACATATAACAAGATTACCATGGAAAAAAGAATTATTCAAGAATCAAATGAGAGATGTTTCGTATCAGTATAGGGAATTATTTTTTTATCATTTCAAAAAATTTGTATGGTAAATTCGAACAAACTAATATTTAATAATTTCTTAAAGAATAAGTCTTAACGGTAGATTTATTTCTGGTCATTTTTGTAATAAAAAGAATAATCGTTGAAAAAATGGCCTCTTTATATATCAATGGTCAATCTTTATATTTTAGCACCCTTTCTTTTGTTGAAAAAAAAATTGAAATGAAAGAAAAAGTATACAGATAAATATAAACCATAAAAAGATTAGAACATAAATTTAGAAGACTATTTTCAATTTCATTTAAGAAATAGATTTATATTAAATTGAAATTTAATTGGTAACAAATTAAGAAAAACTCATAAACTTTAGTTGCAATTACTCATCAGTTTCAGTTTTACAAATCTTTCTTAAATATTAAAGTATAATTAAACATATTATTCGACGATAATGACAGTAAATATTAATATTTCATATTAATAATATGAATACCTAATAATAATAATAATAATAATAATAATAATAATAATAATACAATAAAAAATTTGTGCTACACACAAGTAGTGAATTAATTAAATGTTACTTCAAGTTTTATGTATACTCATATACATTTTATAAACTAGTTATACCAAATATATTTAGTAATGCGAAAGTTATCATTACTTATATATATTATTAGGATTATATTGATTGTCAATGTCACATCTTTTTCTTTTTTTTTCAACCAAAAGAAATTTTATCCGAACCTCTTTTACATATTTAACCAAACTTTTACATAAATAATTAGCTTATAACAAACATAACTTCTTGTTCATTTTCTTTTAGTAAATAGTTCAACTAGTTTGCACACAATTCTTATCCCTTCTGTTTTCTTCAGCGACTATTTTCCAACAATATAATACATATGTTGCCAGAAGAGCGTGCATAATTCATCTGGCGGCCGGTTTTGTTTGGCATAGTCCCACTTTACACAGAAATATTTCTTTTGACTTCCATATTAAGTTAACATTATAAATAATTATCTCATATTTTTGTCTTAAAATCTCTTTAAACAATCCATATATAGGATTCATAGACCATTAAAGAAAGAGAAGGAAAAGTTCTTCAACGTGTTGGACATTCACAATCAAGATATGTATCTAATTAGTTCAAGTGCGCTATTAATGTTAATTAGAGAGTTCTTATTTAAAAATAATAGAAACAATTTGAGAAAATTGAATTGTCCGAAATGAATTTTTAGACTCACATATTTATCAACATGTTAAACTTGTAAAAATAATTAAAAAGTTTTTGTTGATAATTTATGTAATTCTATTTTGTACAGTATAAGCATAATATAAATAAAAATAATAATAATAAAATCTCTTATGTAACCAAATAGACGAAATAGTCACAAACCAGACAAACCTCCAAAATTGTTTCTCTTGAAATATTAACTATGCTGCAAGAAATGTTTTTTGAAGTCTCCATTGGCAGCATTGTTTAGACCCAAAGCCAGCCATACCACAGTTCCAAATGTGGGTTGAGAGCTTGCTTGACAACATGAAATGTGCAGCTGTCTCTTCCTCCACATAGCAGAACGGACATGCATGAGTTGTCCAGATTTTATATCATAATATTTCTCTTTCTTCCCGAGTTTTGTAAAGTTTTAATTCTATGAAGCATGCATGAATTCCTCTTCTCTTGCCACAATTCGAAAGATTGATGATTTAGAAAGTGATGACTGCAATCGTTTAAGATCCCTTTTTGTTTTTCATGAGTGACCCTCTCTTTCTCATGCCTATTGCCTACTCTCTCTCTCTCTCTCCTTTAACAACAAGCGGCCAGCGGTGATGGTTGCATGTTTTTCCCTTTTTCATCTTCCATCCTCTCTTTTTCCTCTTCACTCTTCTCTAATTTTTTTGTTTCTATTCTTCATTGGGCGCGTTAGTAGTTTTTCTACGGTACCTCACAGTGGCTCGGAAAGGTGACTTGCAACAATAATGGATCGGTACTATCACAAATAAATTTATCTCAACTTTAATACAGAATATTTAGTTTGATAAAATATATATATGAATAATATTTAATTTATTAAATATGTATAGAGACAGAAATGAATGTATATGTATTCCTTTCGTACTTATATTAGTTTTAAATTTTTACGAACTTAATTTATTTTTTAAAAAATTAATTTGATATTTATATAATTCGTGTTTTATTTTAAGTAAAATTTTAACTTTTTTTTAGTAAAAATAAGAAAGATTACAAAGATAGTCGCAGTGAAGATTAAACTTAGATCCTCGTGCTTTTAACTATCACAACCCCTCCTTACTTAACCACTAGGCTAACTTTATAATTTAATTAATATAACTTTATAATTTTTATTTTATGTTAAACTATTTTTTTTCAAAAAAAAAGTAATTAATTTTTGAGTAAATATGAAATAATTTTGAATACATTTGATAATCAATAGGAATGAAAATGCAAATTTTATACTCAACAGGGATGTGGTCATGAATGAGTATATAATGAGGAGATAGCAACAGGAATAAAGATACAGAAACTCATAATCATCTCATTGTAATCCTTAATCACGACATAATGGTTTAAGAAAAGTGGTGACATGGGAGATGAGAGATGTAGTTATATGGATGACATTTTTTATTACGGCAATTTTTTTTTAATATTTTAGATATTCAGACATTTTAACAAGAGGAGTGTCTTCGTTAATAATCATAGGTGCCGCTACAAACACATTAATGTCAACTTTATCAACGATAATCTTGAAGCCATGACCATCACAGCTAAAATAACCAGTAGCAATAGTTTCATATAGTTAAAGTCGACTTAATAGTAGAGAATTTAAGAGTTATAATACAAAGTTCTAAATTTAAATTTGTTGTCTTTACCGTAATTTTTATTGATTAAATTGGACTCGTGTAATCGAATAGAGTCCCGTAAAAGATAATATATTAACCATTGTGCCTAGAAATTTATTTTTTTTACAGCGGCTAGATTTATTTGTTATAACACAAAAAAATTAACGTGATCTTAATATTTTTACCTAATCAATTAAGTGGCTAGATATTGAGCATTTATTGTATATATATAACTCTTTTGAGTTGAGTTTTTACTCAGCTGTTGAATATATTCACATTAAGAGGCTATTGAGAATTAGAGCCTGTGTTTGATGTTTGTTTATATATTCTGAAATGTGATGAGGTATGAGAGCGCAAGGTTCTACGATCAGACAGCTGAACTAGGCAGTGGGGTATTATGTGGGAACACGACTTCAAGTGTGACTGATTTTGCAGTAACTGGACAACAAGCCCTAATGGATCTCCAAATTGCAACACCAAAAATCAGTGGCTTTTATGCAGCTACTAAGACAGAGGTGGCTGGTGGCAGTGCAATTTATGCTATTGCACAGTGTGTTGAAACTGCCACAGAGGCTAATTGTCTGACATGCTTGCAAATTGGATACAACAACTTACAAAGTTGTCTTCCCAGCGCAGAGGGTAGAGCATATGATGCTGGTTGTTTCATGAGATACTCCACAACACCCTTCTTTGCTGATAACCAGACCATTGATATCACGCCCTTTTTTAAACAAGGTACAATAATTCTCCTTTAGTTGATGCTATTTAGATAAAATGGTTGGGAATATAAAGTTTTAAAATATTTTCTACTTTAAAAAGAAAAAAAAAAAGTGGAGGTCAAGTTACTTCACAAGTAGTTCTTATTATAGTTCTTTACTTAACTCACGGTATATATTAAATTTCAACGATGTAACTATTAAATTAAAAATTTTGATTAAATAAATCAAGATTATAAATTATTACAAAGTTTAAAAACTATATGATATTTTATTATATAAACTTAAATTAACATTTACATGTAGAAATATATTATACATTAACTTATTGATGAGCATGTGAATCAACTAATAAGATTTATTCTAACTTGATTAATGATCTTGAAGTCGAGTTTTAAGTATAAAATATGTTAAATACTCAAATTAAGGGAGAATTTTGTCATATATATAGTAATTATTATGTACCTAGCTTGAACATGATTGTTATAAGTGGAAAATACTTGTGATATGGAAAAAAAAATATTATATATTAATTTGAATTTATATGATGAAGTATTAAATAGTTTTTAAATTTTAAAAAAAAATCATAGTCTTATTTATTCAATAAAAGTTTTTAATAGTTGAATCATTAAAATGTAAATATATTGTGAATTATTGAGTGAAGTATCTATATTTAAAATTATTTTTAGTGTAATATCACTCTTACCCTTTTAAAAATAATTATAAAAATAGGGTTTAAAATAAAAATAAAGTGCCTAATAAAAAGATGTCTTTAATTTTTGTATGCCAACTGCAGGCCTGGTTTGGAATTGATGTGAATTTCTTTGCTGTATGTAGGAGGTTCTAGCAAGAAATGGGCTATTATTATAGGTGGTGTTGTGGGAGGTGTTGTTGCCCTTCTTGCATTGTTTGCTTGGAGATGGTCTAGAAAATCAAAGGGTGTTCCCAGAGGTAAGTAAATGTGGAAAGTCTTCAATGCAATGTTTGGTATTAATTACTTCATGCTAATTTTCACTTTTAGTGCTTTTCAAATAAATATATACATATATAATGATAAGTACTTTTGTTCGTCATCAACATCTGTTTTTTATCCTGAATTAACTCCGTTTATAATTTCTTCATTTTGTTTCCTAATTTCCTTCATTTTTTTAGAGTCTCCTGATTCAGTTCATGATTGGTTTTGATTTTTGTGTGGATAATAATTTTTTTTTGAAAGCTCTCTTTATAATAAATATTCTATTATAAATAATTTTATTTAAAAAATAAGCAAATCTAAAACTCTCATTTTTATTACAAAATGAAAACTCGTGTGTTCCTTAATTAGCAGGTGACATATTGGGAGCAACTGAGTTGAAAGGTCCAGTTAACTACAAGTATAATGACTTGAAAACTGCAACAAAAAATTTCAGTACTGAATATAAACTTGGAGAAGGAGGTTTTGGTGCTGTATACAAGGTAAATTTATGTTGTATTTTTCAATGTTATAATGGTAAATTTATGTTATATTCTTAAAAGAAAAAAATCCAACTTTCATCTATTGGATTGGGCTTGTTGCCTTGAATCCGACTAAAACCGATATGTCCACCCCTAAAAAATATTATTTTATTTTACTTTATTTTGTATTTACATTAAAAATAAAAATATTTTCCTAATTTCCTTTACAAATCTTTAAAATTTGAAATAAATTTATATTTTGTAATTATTTTTAAAAATATTTATTAAAAAAATGTGTAGAATTGGAAATAGTATAGCCGCCTAATAAGAGAGCCTACAAAATTATTGTATCTATTTCAAGCAAAACCAGACATTTTTAAGAAACGAACTAGGTTGAGTCTTCTATAAAAATTTGTTTGTTTAAAATCGTCAGGACATAGGTAATTCAAAAAGCCTTTTAATCTTGACAAATCAATCTATTTAAGAAAACATAAATAATATTTTTGTTAGTATGATTATTATATTAAAAAAATTATAATATTTTAAAATTATAGTAGTCAAAACACGATGAGACTGATGAGTGATGATTCAATCGGTCTGGTTGGAAATTAATTGGGTGACCGATCTGTTAACTTAAAAAAATTAGTAAATTTTCTAATTGGTCAGGAACTATATTTAAACTGGTCCAAATTCAGTGTAGAAAATTGGGTTGAACTCATCATGTTTAAAAATAAATTTTTTAGTTTCTTTTTATTTTTGAAATTTTTATTTTAAAAATTTTAAAATGCATTCAAAATATTTTATAATAAACAAAAACATATTTGATAAAGATTATAAATTAAAATAAATTATCTTTATCATTTTTAATAATTTTCTCACAAAGAATAATTTAGTCAATTATATTAATTTACAGTTTTTATATATCTTGACGATTTCAATTTTATTGTACATTAATTTCACATTTTTTATTCTAAATGTAAATTTATTATTATTAATGCACTTATATTTTATTAAATTTAAACTTAAATACTATATTTAGATTTTTAAGTTTATTTTGAATATTAAAGATTTATTTTATTTTTAGTGTTATGAAATCATGATATTATATTTATTTAATATTATTTTATATCATTTAATTATTTTTATTTTATTTTATTAATATGAATTTGACCACAATTCATTTATTTTTGAACTATTACTCTTAAATAAGTGTCTTGACACGTTGAGTAATTGGTCAAATTTTAAAAACATTGGTTAAAATTATACTTTTTCGGTTGTGAATATAAGAAAATTAAATATCATGTTTATTGATATAAAATATAAGTAAATATCAACTAATTTCAATTTATTTAATATTACCATCCTTAAAATATTCATTCATTTAATTAAGATTATATTTTCAATATTTTTTTTATTCTTGATATCAAGATCTTATAAAGGATATAATTTAGGAAAATAAGATAATTTTTATGGGTTTAACAAAAATAAATAATGGAAAAAAAACTTTCTTAATTAATGTGAATAATTTTTTTAGTTATATTTAAAATCAGAGGGGTATATATTTACCCTTTTTAAATATTAACTATGTTAACATTCATTAAAAAAAATCTATAATTAACTTGTTAAAGGAGAAATTTATATGCCTTTTTAAAGGTCTTATGATAAGATATTTGTTTAAATAAGTTATCATCAAGATCAATTAGACTTTAAAAACATATTTATATCATATAAACAGGATAACTCAACTCTTATAAGTCTATGCTAACTATTTCCACTAATAACCCTTTTTTGAGCAATAATAATTTTTAGTTTAAAAATTTATGGTTTGTTTTATAAAAAGTCTTTCTTATTGATATAT